CTGTTTTCTATTCCTGTGCGTCACATTTTCATGCGTGGCATTTTGGACGAAGTTGTGCTGCTCTGTACAGCAAAGTGCTCATGTCTAATTCGCTGCCGTTGTGACAGGTATTTTCTCGCTGCTGCATGATTATGTAACCGGAATCTAATCAATCGTTTTTGGGTGGCGTTGTTGTGGCACGCAGGCACCGATGTTCAGCTTCACGCGGCTTAGGGGTGCAGACCCTACCCTCGGCGTCGAGATGTCCTCCACGGGGTGAGCGAGCGGCAACTTTTGGTTTTCGTCGTTGTTGTTGTTTGTTGTCGTCTTCGTCGTCGTCGTTGTTTGTTGTTTTCACGTTAAGAACCGCTCCGGTCTCTGGTCAGTACCCTCTGACGTCCGCACTGGTCTAACTGATGCGCACGCCTTCCGTGGACATGCCTGCGTGATCGTGTCAGGCATGGCGGTTGATCGAGTCGTAGTGTACTAATATTATCCCCCGTGACGTGGGTACCGCGACGGCTCGCCTTGAATCTCCAACCGTTTGGAGTTGGACTCTGGAATCGATAGATACGCGCCCATTGAGAAAAAATAGCAGGACGTTGTCGTCCCGACAGAGAGGCCAGCTACCCGAAAAGGGTACATGGTACACATTGAGTACGCAAATTTGCTGATTTGTTTTGCTTTCAGTGTGGCTCATGTAGATAAATGTTTCGGGATGGCGAGACCCCAGACCCTCTATCGGTGTGGATCACACGACGTGATGGTGAATGGTTGTGTCCTGTTCTCTCTCTCGGGCAGGGAGGTGGCCGCGTTCGGTCGGGATACGAACGACGCCTTCATCCAGGCGTTGGTAGCCACCGGCTTCAAGCTGCCCAGCGTCAAGGTACGTGCGCCTCTCCGCCTACCCCCCATCGTTTCTCCAACACACACCAGCAGTTGTGCTCACCAAGTTGGGCAATACCGCTTCTTTGTCGCAGTGGTAGACAGTGACGTGTTTACACCGTTTCATGCCCAGGGTTTACGTTTTGTTTGGATAGTATAACCGTTGTTTTTTTTTGTTCCTTGTCGACATGACCGTTGATGCGTTTCGTCCTTGGCGACATGACCGTTGACATCCTCTTTGCCTTGTCGACATGACGGTTGGTTCCCCCATGTGCCTCGTCACCGAACGCTTTCCGCTACGTGTATGCCGTGTGTCGGACATGACAGAACGAGATCCTTGTGTCCTTCGCTGTGGACTCGATGAGGGCGGAGTTCTTGCCGTGGGCCAAGGAGTTTGTGAGGATGGGATTCACGTTCGTGGGGACCCCGGGAACTGCAGACTACTTCTGCAACCACGGGGTAAGCAAGCAAGCACGGCTTAGGTGGACTACTACTGTCGGCACCTGTTGGCTGAAGGAAGCATGTGTATGTTGACGTCGACTGACGGCGCTAGTCTGCTGACAAATGAAAAGACGTCAATGTTGTTGACGTCGACCGACCGCGCTAGTCTGCTGACAAATGAAAAGGCGTCAATGTTGTTGGCGTCGACCGATCGCGCGCTAGTCTGCTGACCAATGAAAAGACGTCAATGTTGTTGGCGTCGACCGACCGTGCTAATCTGCTGACCAATGACAATACATCAGTTGTTGACGTCGACCGACCGCGCTAGTCTGGTGACCAACCAAACTACATCAATGTTGTTGGTGTCGACCGACCGCGCTCACCTGCTGACCAATGAAATTCGTCAATCTGTATGCATTTGTGTTGTTGGTGTCGACCGACCGCGTCAGTCTCTACACGGCTCTCCGTGTCGTTATTGTCCTTAGGCCATGATCGAAATTTTGTGTATGCGTGGTTGTCGTTGTTATTTGTGGTATTTATCTCATTTTGTCGTGGTTGTCTGGTGCTGTTGCAGGTGGACACGAAGACGCTGGCGAAACCGCCAAAGTGCAAGGGGGCGGGCGACGGCACCGCCACCGCTCTCGACGGCAGCTCGCTGCCCGATGTGGTGGAGTACATCAAGGATGGCAAGGTTGACTTGGTGATCAACATCCCCGAGGTACGTATGGAAAAAGCACAAGACAGGCAACACGCAGGGAGAGAGAGCGTCCATGTAGTGCTGTGCGCCAGACGTACATAGTGCAGCAGAGACGAGTTGGGGTACGTACGAACAGAGCGCGAATGTTCGAAGGCGTGATTAGTACATACCAGGTACGCTTCCAACGTCACTCTACGCCACCCCTACCGATTGATTGATGCGGTCCACTTTCGTGGATCGTCCAACGTCACCTATCCATCCTGAAGACTCACGGATATTCTCCCATTGCGAAAAAAAAAAAAAACAGGGGACCAAGAAGACGGAGGAGATCAGCGCCGGCTACCTCATCCGGCGCTCCGCGGTGGACTTCGGGGTCTCCCTCATTACCAACGTCAAGTGCGCCGCCCTGCTCGCCGACAGCCTCGTAAGACGCGCCGCGAAGGACAAGGGGCCGCTGGTCCCGGTGTGCATCGAGGAGTACTACGGAGCGGGCAAGACGGCGTAACGTTGGCTTGTTGTAATCGATCGACTCCCCTCCTCCTCGTTGATCGTGGACGTTACCACCGGTGTTGTATCAGACTTCCAAGAGCAGTAGCCTTAGCGGGGTTTTATATTAAGAAACCATGCTGGATAGAGCATGCAATAGGGGAGGTTGGGGTAGGGTTAGGGATATAGTCTGCGCACCCCCTCCCCCTTCTATTTTCTCATTAGCCTGCTTTCTCGCAAAGGGGACCCTCCAGGAGACGTGCTGCTAGGAGCGAGGGGCACATCCCCACCGCCGCGATGACAAGGGTACCAATATTGTCGTGTAAGGGCGACGATGAGCGAGCGGTGGTGTTAACCCATGCCGTAGTCGTTAGACCTCTGCATCCCTACAGTGCGGGGACAGAGCGACATGCCGGGTTTCGCCGGCCCATGGTACATTTCACAAGAATTAACGAGGAGGTGGTCTCGTCATCCTTGCGTTTGCTGTGCCAAACCAGATATATATGCCATGGGGTTGATTGGGGGGTGCTCGAGGCGGTTTCAGGCCGCCTCGTGAACGTATTCGTTTCGACCTTAAATACTTAGATCATCGTTGGCAGACTCAATAGTGTTGCAGGAGGAACGGGGGAGAGGGGTGTACTTCGCCGAGGTTTGCATTCCCGTAGCGCCGTGGGGCCGCTATGTCGCCGCTGCTTCAGCCAAAATTGTACGCCGCCGCCGCCTCTGTTGCGGGCGTTTCATGCAAAAAGGGGGGGGGGCGAAGGTTGGGGTGGGAGGGGGGGGGGGTGCATGCGCTCAGGGGTACTGGTTAGGGTTCTGCAAAGGTGTTTGCGAGAGCGCGCGGTGCTTGTTTTTGTTGGATTCTTGTGGGACAGAATTTTAGGTTTGAGCTGGGGTGTTGTTGGGAAGCGATACGATTGTGTCACGAAAGCTACAAAGGTCGTGAGGCAAGTCGGCGGGGTCGACACTATAGTTGGCAATGTTCCTCGGCGACATGTATAACGCAAGAGTTGGATGTAGTCATTCACCAGAATGGGGGGGGTCGGTCGTGCGGCAGAGAGAAGCAGAGCGTCCGGTACCCTTCTTTTCTCTACTGAGAAATTCGCGTTTTTGTTTTTTCAAGTATTATTTTGGGTGCGGCCATGGCGAGAAGCAGTTTCGCGCTCTCCTTGTTTGTGTTTGCTGTTGGTGTCTATCGTTGTCAGTTTCAAGATTGATCAGCGTCTTGGACTGCTCAAAGAGTGTAAGGTGAGGCTAGCGGGCCGGAGAGAGCGCACTGGCGCACTGGCAGGCGCGAAAGGGTTAACTAGATGGAGTTTTAAAAGGGAGGGTGTGGTTGAGCTTGTCATTCCGTTTCTTGCGAACGAACCTAGAGCAATCCCCGAGACGGTTACCAACAGTTACTCGTTTTTTTTTTTTTTCATGCACGGGTACAGTACGTAGTGCGTCATATGCACACGGGCGGGCACGGCAGGCGTGCCCCAACGCCGTTTTTCGTGCGAAATGTGTTGTGTGGTTCGTTGCGTTTTGGGGGATTAGGGTAAACAACTTGGACGCTCTAGTGTAGGCTTGTTAAGGGTAGCGAGGGCGTTGCACTCGCGCTTCGATATTCAAAGGCCGGCAAAAAAACAGCCGTTACAAGATCGCCAGCTGCTCGTCACCGGGATGGAGCGTTGCGAGTTGAAAACTCGTTTCGAGCGTTTTGCCTGCAGATCTTTCAACGCAAAAGATTTGAAAGGTTGAAATGGTAGGGGTGCGCAGGCTGTGCTTGAGGCTGTTCGTTGGCACCGTTGTGTCATTTCTCTCTTTGGACGTGCTGTATCTGCCTCGTAGTCGAGAGAAGGCACACCCATGGACTTGACGTAGATCGGGAGTATTGTCCCTTCGGCAAGGGACGGAATATACACGCGTCCGTCCGTGTCGCTGACGGTCTAGTCACGAAACACTAACGGGCAACCGATCCATGGCACGATGCGACTTGGATGTCCATCCATCCAGAAATCATACACTCCTTGAGCAGTTTGGCAGATACAGCTTCGATGCCCGTCCATCCAGAGTTCATACCCGTTGATTGGGCTGTTCGGCCGTGTATACGTCGATCGACCATGTACTCCCCACGAGCAACCCCGAACATCATGCCCAGGGGTGTGTATCATCGAGTTCCATGCGTATCGGGAACATCACAACTCCTGCAAACATCTTCCACTCGCTCCGGCGGCGTATTTGAACGACTACCGCTACGCTGCAACCGGTTGAAAAGTATCGGATATCTGGCCGCGCTAGACTGAACAACCGAAAATGCTTGCCGTCCCCGTCCCACCGTCAACCCCGTAGTCTACAGCTGGGACACACGCAAACAAGAACCGAATTACACAGAAAAAAAAAAAATCCCAAACAACGGCGGTCGGGCCACCCTCACAAAATCAAACGCCCCCCCAAAGTAGGGTCGGGCACGCAGAACAGCCCCCTCGATATTCCCCTACGATAGATAGCGTCATGCTACCGCGGGCCCTCGGTTACTAGCACGCTCCACTATTCATCGTCTTCGCCCTGAGCCTCGAACTTGAACGTTCCCGGGGCGTATAAATCTTTCGTAGGAGCTGCGACGACATGGGGGGGGGGGGGGGGGGGTCACATGAGTAAGTGCAGAGGTTGGCGGTGTACAAAGGGGCGCGGGCAATTAGAGCGTGGCTTTGCGAAACATTTCGAATGAACGAACCACATCAGCTCGAGTAGTCCTCGACAATTCATCGTCACGAGGGGGGCCCGCGACAGGGTGGTGGAAACTCGTAGGGTATACAAGGAATCTTGGGCGGGCGCGGTGCGGCTGGCAAAACGAGAGTAGGCTGACAGACGTTGACCATGATGAGTCCTCCAGCACCCGGTCGACACACTGCTGTGCCTCCATTCCGAACGAACGCGTCTCGTTGTCAATCAGCCAGCCCATTGGCAACGCGATCACCCTTCATCCCCTAGCGGACGGGGCCAAACCTTGTGTTACCAGCCCCCCGAGTGTGCTTCATAACGGACGACAAAAACGGCCAGTCTAACGGTGCTGCTGTACCACCACTCGGTTTCTTTCGGGGCGAACGGGACTTTCTTCCCCCATCGAACGGGGGGGGGACTGACAAAACAAACCAAAATCCGACCGCAATTTCTCCAGAAAGCAAGAAACGATCTCGGGCGCTTGTTTCTCGTCTGCATGAGTGTATCGTGCCATCGCAAAACAAACAGTCGGGGGCTGTTGAGGATGGCCGACCACTGGCTGGGGACGCGCCCTGATGTACATGATGGAACAGAGGTTGTCTGCGGTCGAGTCATGTGCCAGCCAGTCCGCGAGGAAGTACAGAATCCATTGTTTGCAATCCATTGTTCGCAATCCATTGGTGGCAATCTCGCACAAATAACCGATAGTTGAAGCATGTCGAACTGGGGCTCTTGCTGGGTGCACGTTCACACGGTGTTCACAGCTTGAGAAGGTGGCTAGCACGCTACGACTCAAGCGCTTTCATGAATGCGGCTTTCGACTATTAGCTGTTCCGACGTGCAGGGATGCACGATAGACGTGATGAGCGCGCGTCTCAAAGGGGGTTCGCATGTTCATGCCTAGACGTCACAAAACGGGGGGAATCTGGAACGGTTGCGTTACTATATGGCTGATGCTGTACAGGGCCAGGGCCGGGGCCGCTGCAGTCACCAGCAGGGAGTCCCAGCAGGCTGTTCATCTACTTTAGTACTTCAGTAGCACGGCCAGACATGCCCTGCGGACTCGTCGTCGTACATACAAAATTGTTGTGTTATGTGGTCTTCCCATTTACAGGTAGTATAAGTTTTAAATAGTACTTCAGATGCCACTACCCAGAGCATGGATAATGGAAGAGAGTCTGCGAACCCTCCGGCATGCGAGGGTGTGTGGATGATCTGTCTTGTACAAGTAGCAGTGTAGCAAAACTCGGGCCTCTGCCCTCTGAAACAAACACGTTGTTTTTGAGTGCAGAATGCGGCGTGAATCGCGGTGTTGCTCTGTGACACACGTTGCTGCTGTTTGCTAATGCACACCGTCCACCACACCAAGTTGTAACCCACCGGGTTTGGATTGATACACACGCCTTTACTATCTCCCTCTTCACCATACCCCAGGAAACTGCCGCGGCGCTGAAGCATCGCGAGTTGTGTTTCGCAGTGTTGACGACGACCGAAAGCAAACTCACCTGTTGCAAACTTGATCGTCCCATCCAGTACGCAGTAGCCCGCAAAGAGACCCAATGCAATACCTAGGCCGGGGAAGGGTCGCTTGTAGCAGCCCGTCAGCATCGGGTGCTTTCGCCACGCGTCCTGTCCACCAAAGACCATATTTTCCTCTCTCGCTCCGCTTCCTGTGTGTCCTGTGCCGCAACGCACTGCAGCAGCACGCAGACACTACTGTAACTCACAGTTTAGATAGGCTGGTATATAGCATCATGAAGTACATTCTGCGTGCCCCCCGGAACGTCGTTGCCATCGTGGTCATCAACAACCGAAGTACGCTACTGCCACAGCCTGCTTGCACTGCTGGTACCCGTAACGTGCTGGTCGATATACCATGTCTTCGGGCGACAGCAATGGGTTGCAGCAGGTGTCGAAAATCGTCAACTCGTTCTTCAACAAGCCGGAGACACTTGCCTTTCGAGAGCCGGTCAACCCAAAAGCGATGGGCATCCCCGATTACCCCCAGATCGTCAAGAATCCCATGGACCTTGGCACGGTGAGCTAATTTGAAACTTCATCAAGAGCTATGTTAGCTAGAGACAGAGGGTCCTTTGCTGCAAGACTACGTACGAATTGCTTCCTGCCGCAGTTGATAGATAGAAGTACGAAATATACGATTTCAAAATCTGATACAAAGTCTCCAATACCAGCTATTATATTTGCCTCCAGTGTAGGCTATAGTATGTACTGCTGTAAGGAGCGTCGCTTGTCAAGACTGCTGTTCAGCAAGGAACCAGGTCTTTCAGGACTCCGGGCTGGTCTTGCTTTCCGTGATTCTCCACGTCAAGTGTGATATCTCGGCACTGATGCCTTCCTTTCCAGTCTGAATACCTACCCAAGTTGCAGCGTATGACCAGCCTTGGAAGTGATCATGAACGACACTTTTCTGATGGAATGTCTATACTGTAATATGAATTCTGGTCAGTACTCATGCAACGATGGGTATATGTAGGTATTCGGACTGGAAAGGCACTCAGTGCCGAGATATCAGACATGATGTGGAGGATCTACTTTGAGGGCTCACCGAGCCCGCCCCCTTCCATCGGGTCAGGGGGCAATTCAAGTCTAGCTGATTCGTCCTCGTCATATCGTATCAATCCTTTGATTTGCATCCGTTTCAGCTCCCCCCTTGTCTTGCCGTCGAGTCCTGCAGCAGTCTCGACGCTTGGGGTGCTGTGCGCTGGTCCTTGGGACCTAAGCGTCCTGTTCAACGAAATGACGGGCTGTCGTTGAACACTTGCGGGGGTAGAACCCTGGTCCTTTTCTTCTTCGTTGATTTCCTGGAGCGTGGCTCCTGAGAAGTCTGGTGCGTCTTCTGACTCAAAATTTCCTTGTAGAGATCTCGACCTTGATCCTGGCTCCCTGAGATCTTGTACTCGAACACTTGACTCGTGCGACCGTAGCTCCAGCGCGTTAACCGAGGCTCATAACCTTTCGGGAATGGAGGTGTGTGGTGTGAGGCTTGAAGCTGACGAAAACGGCGTGTACCTAGATGACCTTTGGCACGGGCTTGTCAAGTGTGTGGACAGAGAGAGTTCAAATCTCTGTCTGCAGCTCGTGCGTACGACAAGAGATAGCCCAAGGCGAGTGGCGTCCGATGTACGTAAGCGAAGCACCTGATGCGATCTTGCAGTCGGTCACAAGCGTAACTCAGAGCACAGCGTATCCGCACGTGGTGCGTTGCGACACGGCTTACACTGATTGTGGCAATCAACTTCCGTGAGAGAGTTGTGCCGGCGGGCTCTTGCACGAGGACGAAGAGTTCCCAGGTGGCCTCTTGCGCGAGGGCTGCACCATCCAAGCAAAGCATACCGACGGAAACACACTTGAACTTGTATCCCAAAGTGTCAAACCAATCAGACAACATGACCCCTTGGGCAAATATCCGACTGACTTCGTCTCGTGCGTATACAACACGTACTCAACATAAGGTTGACCAATCATATGCTGTATAGCATCAACCAGTCGCCAGCAACAAGTAATTCTGGCGACGTACTTACGTGCGTAATACGACTCAGCAAGCTATGATACTCAGAATGACACCTGCTGAACATTCGTATGTCAAGAACAAAGTCAATGTTCACCAGGCGGAAACTTGTTCTAGAAAAATGATAAAAAAACTAATACGGATAACCGAATAGACTTATCCCATCAAATGCACTCTGCTTGTCCAGCAGTATATCAAACACAGGATTCACGCCTGCACTACTGCGTGTCTTGATACGAAGGTGAGAGCAACCTTGTACGTATCGCTGTTTACCTATAGTTATCGCATGCACGATGCGATGTAAATATCAAGCATCGTTTTTGCCAGGTGCTCTGTTGTTAGCCCTCCTCTGTGTGGTTGGCCAATAGCAAAATATAGGTTTTGGTGTGCGATTCTTAGCTGAGCACCTCTTGTTGTGGCTGTGGTCAAGTGTACCCTTTCAAGACGAGCACAAACAGCATAGAGTACCTCCACTTGGCGCTGAATCCTGGGGCGAAGAGACCAGGCACAGGGCATGCCACTGCGTGAAATTTCACCAATAGATCGGATCTTCCCATTACGAGAGGTTGAGACAGAGCAGAGAAGCACACCCCACACAAGCACGCGTAAAGCTTGCCGCCTGCACCAGCCGGCGCGCTCCGAGCGGGGTGTATAGTTTGCCTGGCTGTGCTTGTCATCGTTAGACAAAGCTTCAAGCCTGAGACGGTATTCTGAAGTAAGAACGAGCACGGAATGCAGACGGCTCTCTCTGAGAAATGTCGGTGAAAAAAGAACTGGGAAGAGTCGCCAAGTTGCCTGCAGACAAGCACATGAAAAAGGAACACGCCCGTACCCCGTCCTGAAAGCGTGTATTGACGACTGTAGCCGCAATTCCCACGGTAGGGTGACTGCCAGAGGTTGCCCCATAGCCTGCAGCCACCCTCAGACCGTTGATACATGGTAGGGAACAGCGTATGGATCCATGGTCAGGTTTGGTTTGGTTTCTGGTTTAGTAGAAGAAGAGAAGTGTTTGCGTGCACAAAGCAAAAATCACCAGCATGGTGTGAAAAAGGGATGACACGCCAAGCAATCAACCTCTGACGTCTCAGGTCACGGATGAAGAAAACACCTTCGGGACTTCAACCTCTGATATGTGTTTTCCGTCGGAGGCCTTGTCGTTTGGTTGTCTGTTCAACTTACCGCTACGTTTCCCTCTGCATCTACAACTGCAGGCCACCGAGAGAGTGGGATGAGAGACCATGTGCTGACCTATGGCATTTCCGCAAGAACGATTGGTCTCGAACAAAAATTGTTTGTCCTTTCTCGCCGTCGCGCTCTCGGGTTTCTCCGTGAAAAACCTTGTCGTTTTGATTCACGAAGTCTCGCGATATGTCTAACCTGTGAGTGAGAGTAAGCTCACCCAGGCGGAGTTCAATGAGTAAGGGTGGCAGCCTTCAAGGTTTTGCCATCATGTGCATCCTATGATGCCAAAGCACACTGCCGTTTGCTCTCACCCTTGAAATTTTCGCAGGGTTATCACTCGATTTCTCCATATCAATAAAAAAGAAAAAATCGCCTTCTGTTTAATTTGCGGCAGGGCACACCGTCAGCCAAGACATTTTCTCCCACCTTTTGGCGAGACACGAGCAACCGATCTGAAAGTTATTCACCACACCGTGTAGCATGGATCTGTGCGCTCATCATGCACGCGCCGCTGCACGCGTCGCGGCACACGCGAGCTAACCGTGTCTGCGAGTGCTGCAGCAGCTGGGGTGCTGTGTTGCCCTTTTCGGCTGTTTGACGTACAACACGGAAAATCCGACCCATTGGTGCCTAACTTTCCGTTAGAAAACAAGAAGGCAAAGCCCTTGTCATGATGTTGGGTTCCCTAGTTTCAAAAGCAAGCTAGGTTCGGGATTAAGCGAAGTGACCGAGAAACCCCACGTTGCCACGGACAGAGAGTGAACACAGGTGGCACCCTGCAAGTGTTTTCCTTGATTCTTGACCCCAAGAGGTAAGAAATCGATTGTATTGCATGCCGATCTCGCTTCTCTCGTTGTATGTTTTCTGTTTTTGACCGGATCACCGACTTGATTTCGACAGCGAGACCCAAAAACCAGCTCCTACGGCCCACAGGTCATACCGTAGCCGGACGCCGATCTATTGCCTGTGGTCCGTCTTGCGTGGTGATTCACACCGACCAGGAGGCTGTAGGACGCCCAGAAATTGCGGGCGCGAGAGTCTGCAACAGCCTGAAAAAACCCTGCCGCGTCTGCTAGGATCAGTTTGTATTTTTTCTTGCCCTGGGCGCAGGTTTGGGTTTTACCGACGATCCCTCCCCACACACCGAAGCAACAGCAATGACAATGATGACACCCGCCACGAGCTGTATGTTTGGCTCCCTTTTCCCTCGCCAGTGCTGTCTTGCCCCTCCCAGCGGTGTTGCGTGTTTGGCTGAGTGCTTCTCTGTTTCTCTTGGTTTGAACCGAGTAACTGCTGCGTGTGTGGGCGTGGGAAATCTCCAATTTTTTCTTCCTGCATTACCTCTACAACTCCCCGGGGAAAGGGGTCAAAGTATTCTATGATTTTGGGGACAAATTCCTATCAAGCACGGCCATCTGTTGTCGGAGCGCGTAATTTTTCTGGAAACATATATCGGCACTTCCGAGGCTCATTAATATTTCTGGATACATATCGGCACTACACAGGGCCCGCTACTGTACAGAAAATTCATGATCAATGGTTGCGTCGAACAGCATAACAGCATTATCGAGGTGAGGTGACGGATGCCAAACCTTAGCCTGAACTTTCCCTTCCCAAGACTTGTCTCGTCATGCTGTAGATGGCGATTGCCGACCTGCGGTTTTGTTGATGCGATGGCAACTTTCTGCGTAATACGAGCACGACAGAGCTCACTTACCGCCACACGTTCCGGTTGCATTCCGCCCTCCTCGTCAACGGTATACGGACGTACTCGCGAACTTGGTACGGGTTACAATATGGTACGGGTTAGGTGAGGACAAAGCTGGAAGAGGGCCGGTACGAGCGCGCGGAAGACGTCGCACGAGACGTTCGCTTGATCTGGTCTAACTGCATCCTCTACAACTCGCCAGGATCTGAGTTCGGCCTCCTCGCGGCGGGCCTCGCGAAAAAGTTCGAGGAGAGATTTTCCAGGGTTAAGGTATGGTACGCTGTGAGGTTCCTCCACGGATACGGTAGATTTCACTGCGAGGTTCCTGTCCGTGTACTAAATATGCCAACCACCACAGATATACACTTAACCGTTCGATACAAATTTATAGCAAGATTTTGTTGGGTGGAAGAGCAAGGATGGCAGGCAGGGAAACCGTCGCCATGAATGCACGGTCTCTCGGCCGAACTTCCGAGAACGCAAAAAAATACTTAAAAATGCGGTGGTTGTGCGTTGGTTTCAACGGCGTTCGTTCATCCATCTGGCGCTAACGATTTCCCCCTCCTTCCATTCAGAGACGCCGCTGCAGGGCGTTTGTTGTGCGCATAGCGGCTGTGCGAGCACGTCTACCGCAGGTGTAGAAACGAACGGTCATATCCCCCCCAACGTCAGTCATGGATGATTCCTCCGTGCTTTCACGCGTACGGTGTTCTTCTCTATATTTTGGCGGACTGCCTCGAAAAAGTGTTGATTTGTTGAGCGTGTTGGAATTCTCAATGTCAGCTGTAAGTAGATGATGGACCCAAGGAGCATTGCTGGAATAGCTGCATTATGGTACATTTGACAGTTTTCCTATGGGATTATCCTCTTTGCGTTGTGTTCTCTTGTCGACTGTGTTTTACTTCCGTTGGGGTTCTTACTTCGTGATGGGGATGGATGGCGCTCCCCCGTGGCGCTCGCCCCATCTCCCTCACTCCCGTTGTCTTCCTTTCCTTTCGGCCAACTAAGCGCCAAATCAACCATCTTATCTGGTCTAGACACAAGCGCACTTTGCAGTGTTGTGAGCCTCTGCACACTGTTCTTACACAGCAGCGGCCATTGCCAGGAATACGCCCAATCCAGGGTTTACATTCCAACAGTGCACTCCCAACAAACTGCCAGTTACATAGCTTGCTCGAGCAAAAAGAGTAGTTTGCTTGGTCCTACATAAGCATATTGATCAACCGAACCCCGCTTGAACTACCGCACACCGCCGAAACCAATCAGACCGCGGAGAAGGAGCGAGACAGAAAACCCAGCGCCAAGTCGGAGCCGGTCAACACGAAAGCACCGACCTTGGATGAGAAGGTCCGCTTCACGTACGACCTCTACCGGACAACCAAGGTCGACGTGAGTGACGACACGAAAGGACGGAGGAGACCCAGGGACGGGAGATCCAGTTTTTTTTTGTTTTTTTTTCTTCACTTTGAATCGGCGTTCACAGCATTTATTTCTGCCCGGTAGGAGCTCCAATCCGTGGTCACAAAGACGAAGGGTTCCGCCCCCTGAGGCCCCCTCCTGCGGTGCTTGATTCCGATTTTCAACGCGAGAAAGAGTACAGCAGCACTCTCTTCCTTCAAAGTGTGCACACGAACTGAATAGCGCTTTCCAGGTTGCGTAGGAGAGTACGGGCGGTTTTGCCGCGTGCAGAGTGCGTAAGTCAGGTGCCAGGGGAAGCATTTCGCCGGAGATTTGGTGGATGTTTCGCACGTCAGGGGCAAGGGACTCGGGATGTAGATGTTCAGAACACGTCGCCTGCAATCAGGAAAAGGCCGACCAGTAGTTTTTTTTGTACCATTAAGTCTCTACCTGTAAGTGCTACTAGGTGGTCTTGTTGATACTATCTATTGCCTGTGTAGTTCACGACGACGTGGCGCCGATGACATCCCCAGCAATGTATCAGCACGACATGAATGAATACACGCATGTTATCGCGTGGTATGGCATCGCACAGGTAGGGCAGGTGATGGAGCAGGTCGACGCGCGGTGTCCGCAAGCGCTCAAGTCGCCGGCAGATGACGAGGTGAGAGAAGTCGTGCAGTACACGTTAGGAAGAACCTGCCTCTTTCGTCCCCGACTTGGGAAGTACCCAAGTTTATGGGTGGTTCATCGCAACAGCAGAGAGCAGTATTTGTTGTTGATGCCTTGACGTTAAATATCGTTCCGGTCTAGTGCTTGCCTTTGTAGCCAAGACGATAATGCCGACCACCACGGCGGAAATACCATGAAGAACGCCCCACCATCCACTACACAATATTGGTAGCTTTGTTTCTGCTGTTGCCGCGGTGCCGTACTCGCGTCTTGCTTCGCTCAAACCCTCTCGCCTAAGACCGATCATATCAACCGCTTTTCTGTCCCTCTCTGGCTCCCTCTCTCTCCACTCTGTCGCTCAACACTCGTGGAACAACAACAACAACAACAACAACAACAACGTGAAGGTGGAGCTGAACGTGGATATGTTGGACCCCCTGACGTTTCGGTTCGTGGAACGATTACTACGACAATCCCTGCAAGGAAACGCTTCTGCTACTTCCAACAACTCCGCGGGAACGACAGCAGCGTCAGCCTCTAGCACGTCTTCCTCCACCAGCAAGTCCAAGTCGGGCGGTGGTGGCGGTGGCGGCGGCAGCAGCGGCGGCAGCAGCGGCCCAAAAAAGCGGAAAAACTCAGATGGGGAAACGCGACCAAAAAAGCAACGCGCTTAACTTCTGCGGAACAAATCGCTCCATGTGTTTTTGTCGTCAGTAGGAGGTTTTTCGGGGGGCATGCTGCGTGGGGGATAACGAGATGCTCCACATCCCGCCTCCTTGGTAGAGCGTGGTTCCGATTTCGGTGATGAAAGGAAATTACCCGTTGGCTACTGCTCGAGGGTGTGTATGAGATGTTCTGGTGTGCCGTCGGGTGGAGATGTGTGCGTTGGATTTGTAGAGGACTAGAAAACAATTGTTCCAACAGTACAGGCAAGCGCACCCAACAACTGTGTCCGCACTATTTCGAGCCCGATGTGAACACCCTTCGAGATAGCATGCGGGCTTTTTGTTCTATCGCTCCAAAGTTGCTGTAGTCTTTGTCGGCACACGAAAACTGTGTGAGGGTTTCCCTCGTCAGCTGGCCTGCCGGGAGCCACCGAACTACGAAGTGTTCCATATTTTCTCCCATCATCGCTCACTTTGTTTTGCATGGGGGGTCATAGGGTTCTACTACCTATGTACCAGTCCCAGCTTCTTGGCCCTGCCCCGACAAGCCAAGACAAACACCTCCTTTCCAAGGATAGTCCATTCCAAAATCGATCTCGCGACGGCGGGCGGCGGGCGGCATGTCCCAACTCGACGCGTGCCATAACGGCACTGCTAGAGCACCTTTTACCCCTGCTTTACGAACCTCGTCGTCGTCGCAAGCACCACCATGTTAGACGCTTCTTCTTGAAGAGGAAGGCGAGTTGTACGGTCAAAAGAGCTACGGCGTGCATGATGATGGTGAATCCAGTCCCGTCGAAGAGCTCGAAGACACGCGCCATTTACCGTTCAGGGGTAGCAAGCAGACTAACAACCTCGTGGCACATCATAGTATATCGTCTGTCTGGTTAAAATTACGATCTCTCAAGCTTGGTACACAAATTGCTCTTTCAAATAGGTATGACGGAGCGATTGCGCGGCAGCACGAGTTCATCACACCATGTGCCACTGCTGCGACTCTTGTCCATATTTGTATTTCGTACCTCAACATCGCCGTTTCACCTCCAAATTCGAGGCTTTGGGCGACACAAGACGGGGTCGTAACTACGATGGAAACTGGACGTGTTTCGGTCGCCACAAGAAAACTGCGTGAAAGTCGATCCGCCGGTCGCTTACCACCTCACGCCAGTCTAGTTGCTTCTTTACGCTGTGCCCACATTTCCGTCCTGAGATAGCCTGTTAACACAAAAGCCGACCGAACTGTGAGCAGAAGACGCCCCGATTCGCGACCTTGGGAATACAACTAAAGCCGCTCAACCACACCGCCATTGCCCCCCTGTCTACACGTCCGTCCCACGCCATCTCTTTCGAAACGAGCGTCCCGTTGTCGAGACCAGCTCCGTCAAAATCGCTTCAGCATTGGCCAACTGCATGTGTCGTCCCCGGCTGACGTAGATACCACACACGTTGGCCATATCCGATCTAAGATACCCAACACATTGTTGTCGGTGCCACCGAAGCCGGACCTGATGATCCACGCTGCGAAAAAACCGTCGAAATCTCCGGAGTAAACAGCACCCGATCCTTCGCTGGATTCGGGATCAGGTTCGGCGTCAAATCAATAACTAGGGTACACGCATCATCGGCAAGCCAACAGGCTGATGAAAAAAACAAACCAACACTCGGAGGGAGGTGCTCCTGGCTGGACCTACACCCACACGAGTCGGCAAACCAACAGCTGACAAAAAAACAAACCAACACTCGGAGGGAGGTGCTGCTGGACGTACAACCACATAGAGATGCCTTTCCGAAGCAGTCAACGAGAGAACGTAATAACCGCGGTGTGTAATCCAATGGGCCACTTGCCAAAGAGAGGACGCAACGGCTCAGACACACATACGTGCGTGAGGATTTCAGCCTGCTGTGCTATGTAAATGAAACCAAACTTCCTACAAACTCGAGTGAGTACTCGCGGCCACTGTCGTCAAGGAGTTGCACCGTATACGGCACAAGGCAACACACCCACTCGCACAGCACCACAACCGGTGGTCGAAGTTTTACGGGATAACGTGAGCCCAAAACACAAAACCACTCTTCACACCAAGCAAAAGTATGGTAACTGCTTCGACATATGATACCACACCACCCACACAACCACCTGGTGATCATTTTCTTAGACGCCAAGTTGTCATCGCCGGGGGCGGGGTGGGGGCGGGGGCGTACTCATATGTTTTGCATGCCTTAGCGGTTAGACCATTGACCAGGGGGGGCGGGGTTCTTGCAGATTTTACGGTACTCTACCACCCATCACATGAAAATGTGTGCCCGCCCGCTAGAGTTCACTCCGGCCAAGACGTCCCTGGATGGGTGGAAAGCAACGACGCTCTGGATGGAACCCATGACGTCTCCCCCCGTGACCTCCACGGCGGAAGGCTTTTTGGCGCCTCCGTTGACGCTGTACAGATGGATCTGTGATTGAGACGAGAAACGACGGAATAGGCCAAAAGGGATGGTTGTTGTGGTGTTTGCTGTCCTCACATTAATTGTCCTCACATTAATTAAACGTCGCACCGGTATCTCAATATCTGTCGTACACGGGTCCAAAGTGACACGGGCGACTTCCGCGGCCACAAGGATTGGGGGGTTACATACTCACGTACGCATAAAAACAAAGCAAGATAAAAATCAGACGCTGTAACTCCGCCCCATCATCCCTTCTCAATCAACCGCTGGTTGCGGAACTTCACGCCAACGATGACATACCTACGTATGCGACCTTGCCACCATACAGCAGCGGAAAAATAAAAGTGAACCACCGAGGCAAGCACCGCAGGGGGAAACGTGGGGCAACAAAACAAACAAAAAAATGAAAAAAGCTCCTGTGCGATTCCCCTTGTGTGACCCCGGCTGACACGCCAGTCACGAATACACGCCGAAAGGCCTGTAAATCGGCGCCAGAATAGATGGGGACGAACACACACGACCCACCAAACAATGGAATCAAAAGAACAACGTCAGAAAACGCCAAGACTGCTGATCGCCCCGCCCTACCCCGTGAGGGTACTTCTGCATGCTGCCGATGGCGAACAGTCCCTTCGATTTGGGGTCCCACGATGCCTGGAATTTGGTGAGCCAGCGGCCGGTTTGGTTGTTGTGCGGTAGAACTTGGGAGGCCGACACCTGTCGCGGAGAAAACAAAACAGAATAGAGTAAAAGAGGAATCGTTTGAAGTTTGCCTCGACAAGGAATCATTCCGACCGAAGCGACGTGCGTTGCCAAGCAAACTTGTCCAAGTAAACGCCCATCGGAGAAACTCCTAAAGTGAACAAGCTTTCATTTGCGGGCGGCAGAAAACCGTCAGAAAACCCTCGAAAGAGGACGCCATGGGTCAATCAAGCGGTTCGACAAGTCATAGAGATAGCGTGGGCACCTGGCCTTGCAAAGAATGACAAAGCCGGTGGTGCCTGCTTCAAAGAAGGATTGAGCATAGTGCTTCACCGAGGCATTACCGGTGCTTTCTTTTAAGCAGAATGCTCTTCCTCCAATTAATAAGGTACATTCTTGAGGAGCAATAAAATCGAAAACCAAACCTGCATTGTTGTCTTGTTGGATTGCATCCCAATATAGGGACGGGCGGCCAACAGCACACCTACCTGCTTTCCGCTTGCGCTGCCGAGGTCTTGGTACAGCCTGATCTTGTCGTCCTGACACACCGTGGCCATCCACTCCCCCGTGGGGCTGAAGTGCGCGCTGTTGACGCTGCGGAAGTGCGGTAGCTCGGCCACGTGCTGCATGCCGCCGATGCCGCTCGACCCCGTGCCGGCGCCAACGTTCCGAGCGTCCCATAACCTCACGCTTCGGTCCAGCGATGCCTATTGTTACGGGGAAGGTACATTATGCGCGAAAAAATATTTATTAGATGTGCTTTTGTTTTCTGACTATCTGGGAAGGGCAAGACAAAAAAAAGACTTGAGGCTGACTCATGAAGATTTTGGAACGGGAATGTACTGTATGTATGTAAAAAAAAAGACGAATGCTTGGTTGTTAGCTTTACAATACAACAAAGAAATATAGAAAAAAAAAGTGGAGGTCCCACTTTCGTCTGTCCGCCAATCACACCTATAAAGCAGATGGTTGTTTGGTGAATATGCCCCCCTGGACACACGCGTGAGAAAAACGCAGCAAAGACATATACATCCTGGTCTCTTACATGATTTCCGTGTTTCTGATTCTGCAAAAAAAAACGCGATTTGTTCTTGCTTGCCCGCCCCCGTCCAGCAAAAAACATTTCAAAGAAATTATTGTTCCACTGTCAGAATTCTTGAGGGTCGCACAAAAAGAGATTCGCAAGTGTGTGTGCACCATCACACCATCACCCTTCTTATAAAAATTCACGCAAAAAAAAATCCAAAAAAATAAAAATATAATTTATTGAAAAAAAAAAATCGACAGCTCCGGACATAGAAGTACGTACTTGTGCTTCAGGCAGAATTTGTCAGCGACCCACCAAAAACTACACGTGCAACTTTGTACAGCGAAAATCAAAAAGAGGTCTTGGACCCACAACCAGCCTCTTTCCTGTGCAAAGAAAGCACACAGGGGAAACACATATATGAGTAGGACAAAACAAAATCGGTCCCAATATGATATTCACGTCCAAAACAAGAAAAAACAACTCAACAAACAACTTAGATAACCTCCGGACATGCGTACTTGTGCTTCAAAACTACACTTGCAACAACACAGCGAAAAAAAAGGAGTATGCTGCAAGGGAAAGAGAGAGGTCTTGGACCCACAGCCTCATGAATGACTGTTCAAAAGTTTTGCAAACAGATAATTCACAGAAAAATAACGAAAGAAAAACTGAAAAAATTAAATACTAAATAAACATGCATAGCCTCCTGACATACTTGTGTCCTTCAGGCAGAACCACCTAAAACTACACGTGCGGCAACCACAACGAAAAAAAAGGGTGCAAGGAAAAGAGGTCTTGGATCCACAGACTCGACCTGCAACAGGACCCCACACCAAAAAAATTCCTCTGGGCGGAGGTTCGGTGGTGAGTGGATATTATAAAAAAATCATAACTTTTTGCCCCGGCATCAGATTTTCATGAAACAAATTGCGTTGGATAGCTGATGAGCTGAATTATTTTCGAGGTTTTTTTCAATTTTTTTGGAAAACAGGGCACAAAGATTTTCTGTGTTTTTTTCACGAAAATCAACCCTTTACCTGTTTTTTTTTTTTTCTCGAACAGCCTGGGCTATTCAACAAAAACTATAAAAAAAAACAAGATTTTCGTGCCCCCGTTTTGCAAAAAAATAAAATAAAAATAGGCGAAAAAAACTTCAGCTCATCAGCTATCCAACGCAATTTGTTTCATGAAAATCCGATGCCAGGGCAAAAAGTTATTTTTTTGTTTAAATATCCCTCACAGAAGCCCCCTCCGCCCACAGCATATAATTTGGTGCGGCGGGTCCTTTTGCAAGAGGGTTATTTTACGCCCCTGGACACACGCGTGCGTGAGAAAGACGCAGCAAAGACATGTTGTATATCCTGGTCTCTTATCTGTGGATGGTGATGAAAAATTATGTCCGTGTTTTTTTTTTTATTCTGTAGGAAAAATTAAGGCATTTGTTCATTCTTCCACGCCGCCGTCCTGCAAAAAATATGTCCTTTCCTCTCGTCGCTTCGCTCGTCAGGCCGTCAGGGAAAGTAAGAAATCTTGAGGGTCGCACAAAAAGATGTTCTTCGCAAGTAAGTGTGTGCGCCATCACAGCATCACCACCCTTATTTAATTTCTTCTTCAAATTTTTCACGTCCGTCCGTCCAATTTTTTTGTAGGGAGGCAGACGAAATACTTTATTTACAAAGAAATTCACAAAATAAACATACATGCAAATATTTTTGAAAAAAATGAAAAAAAAAAACATCAAGTTAAAAAAAACTACAGGTGCAGAAACCGCGGGCTATGCTACACGCCACTGTTCGGCAACGGTGCCTGCTGTTAGCGGGAGTATTGGCGAGGTAGCCAGACGGGCGACTCCCGAAACGGTTCACGCTTGGCGAGCTGGGGGGGGGGGGGGGGGGGTGCCCCATACAAATATTCCCCATCCGGAAGGTTTGCTTTCATTTTAGCATCTCGCACGTACCGCTTCGCCGTCCGCAAATGTAGGACGTCTGACCGAAAGCACGCCGTAGGCAAGGGTGGGGGTGCGTTGTGACGCGTCCAACACACGTCACACCCACAAATTAAGT